GCGCCAACTTGATGGTCCCTCCTAGCCTTAAACTCTGTGAGTCTAAAATAATTGAACAATTCAAAGTAGAAAAAATCACATCTAGGCTTCACAACATTGTGCAAACCTATTAGAAGCTCCTACTCCCAAGATTTTGGACTGCAACTTTCAGCTCATGCTATTGAGCCTTATCATTATTTCTGTCAGGGTCCACTTAGTTGCAGTTTCAACATGCCAGTTCCAGGACATATTTATACAATGCTCAACCTTTGTAATATTTTAGAATTTGTAAAAGGACTGCTTCATGCCTATTCCATAGTTTATGAATTCCCTCTTTCTGGGAACCTCCTTCCAACTACTTTCTCCACTAACTTACGAGGGACTACCACCTCTGCCAGGAAAATTAGTGAGATTCTAAACTGTCGTGGAAATCTACTTTCTTCCATGGGGAAAAGGTGGTAGTGATATTTTATCCTAAATGTTTAATCATGCTGGTGTCAGATTTCAAAAGACCATGGACCTCCGCATTTTCTTTCCCAAACAATACTTAAACTGATGAGATGATGCCCGAACTTTACATGACTCTCAAGATCCTTACTTCAGATGTTTCCAGAACCCTTCTTTATTAGTCAACTAGAAAAATATAGTCAGAAAACCACTGTATTTGAGGCATTGGGACAGCTTGAGAAATGTCAGGCCCCCTCATCTTAGAGATTAGTCAAGTGCATTACTCAGAGCAGGGACAGGCAAACTTTTTGGCCTGAGGGCCACATCTTAGGATGGAAATTGTATGGAGGGGTGGTGAGAGCTCCAGCTGGGGTTACAAGCTCTGGGATCAGGTTTGGGGTGCAGGAGGGTGCACTATACTGGGAACAAAGGGTTGGAGGATGTGAGGGGGATCGGTGCTGAGACAGAAGGTTGGGGTCAGAGCTGGCACTTGGGGTGTGGGTAGTGTGCAGAGCCCCTTGGCTGCTCCTGTGTCTGGGAGCCACATGGAATGGGGCAAAGCAAACCCCTAACCCCATTCCTGGTGGGAGCACACAAAGAGCAAGCTCTTGACTCTGCTTCCCAGCATGAACTTGAGGCCAGATTAAAAAGTCTGATGGGCCAGATGTGACCTGCATCCGTACTTTGCCCACCCCTGAGTTAGTGCATTAAAATTTGTTACCATGTGTTGTATTATACTACCTATATAATAAGGTTCCAGAAGTGTCACTTTGTCTCTGAAGCCAGTTATCAGTCAGTTTGAGGCGATAGAAATAGGTACGGGGTGGGTGAGCACTTTTTGTTCAGAATATCGCTAGGTTCAATCATGACTGAGTTTTATAGTGTGTTACTGATTTTTAAGTTCTCTGACATTTTGACTTCATACCCATGCAGTGTACAGCTACAGTAAGGCTATCCCAAGAGTCCTAAACTATTGTGCTATCAGAGGTAACTGAGCCAGTCACCATCTATTTGCATGCAGCAATTTCATTGGTTGTATGGGAGAAACTGCACAGATGGTGGATTACTTGGCCCAGCTGCCACCTGCACAAAGAAACACAAATATCCCAGAATAATGCCCCCAGACATAAATCAACACAGTTACGCACATCAACACAGTCTAGCGACACAACTAGAATACACAATAACCACAAAATTCATGATTTGCACCACAGCACCTACTCTTCATTCACCATCCATAGCTGCTCCAGTACACAAAACACAAATCAACCCAATTACCCACACAGCAACAGAGCCAGTATATATAATAACCCCAAATATCACTGAAGCTTAGAATGGGTGAGTCACTGTGAAGTCATGGAAACAGCTACAAAGCATGGTTGAGTGCTCCTTTTGTTTGGAATATCACTAAGTTCATTTATCACTGGGATTCACAATCTGTTAACCTTCAGTTTTTAAATTCTCAGCCATGTTGCTTTTTTTTACTCATATGAGTACAAATTGTAGCTGTGTGACAGCACAGTTTTTCAGTCACTAGTATTCTTGTAAGTATCACATTTGTTGAGTGCAGTAAGTGGTTCCAGTTCTGAATAATCGGTGTATTAAAACTGTATATTTTAAATATTTGATTGTATTGTGTTAGAATTTGTAAACCCTTGTTTTAAATGCATTATTTTGGACAGAATGTTCATCCTTTTTAAGAAGTAAAACGTTGCAAAAGATTTGTCAGACAAAACATGTTTTTTCTATTGATTTAGCAGTGTGAGGATGAATTCCTCTTTGCTACCAGTGACATCAGTGCAAAGAAAGATTGCTCCTTGAGTTTACATTTCAGTTTGTTTTTGCTCAAATATGCCAAAATGTACAGCTACTCACATTTTTCCAGGTTTATTTATTCTTTTTGTGAAGAGATTTTTTTTTTTCCCCCACCAGAGACTTCGACATGTTTAAATTCACTTCTTAGCCTAGTTTGAATATAGCCATTGTTTGGGGATTGTAGAGGCAGGAGTGCAAAATTAAGAAGCAAATACACATTTAAAAAAGATACAAGAAGTTTTTCAACTTATGCGATAGAGCCAGATTTTGAGGTGTTTAACATCATCATTTTCCATTGAAGTCACAGAATTAAGGCCTGAGAGGACATGTCCTTGTAAAGTGTAGGATTAAAGATGGAACAAAATATAAAGGGTTATATAGTATCCAGATTGCATTGGAAGATGGAGGGCAGACTTGGTAAAATCACTTACCCTTTTAAACACCCCTAAGCCCAATGACTTTGCCCTACACAAAGTAAATACATCACCCCAAATGGGGTAATAAAGAGAAGATATTGCCACCCTCCGAGCTCCATGCCAATCCAGATGCACCAAGGGGAGCAGTTTGCACCTTTTTGAGCATGAGGCCATGTCTGCACTCTGAGATTAGATCAAATTTATTAAGATCCATTTTTTTAGCACCCAGTTGTGCAAGAGTTCAATGTAGTGCATCTCCAGTAGGATGGCTCCTGTCAACTTTGACAGCAATGCACTGTGGGTAGCTAAACTGAAGTTCCTGCTGCCCCTTTGCATTCTGAGTTAGGTTCACAGTGCCTGATGGGATAGAAAGTGTAGTGGGTGGTTATGACGACATGTTGTCCGTGTCCCATTGCGCACTCATCCTCCTTCCCCCCTGCCTGAAAGCAAAGGCAAACAACCTTTAGTGCCCTTTTCCCTTGGTTATCCATAGCAGAGGAAATATGGACTTCATTCAGCTATAAAGTGTTCAGTTGCAAAGTGCTGTGTTAATCATTGCAAACACCTCATGCCTTATGCTGCAGTATGTTCAGAGCCTAGTCAGGATCTGCCAGAGCGAGGAAGAATGAGGTCATGAACACAGACATGTTTGAAACACTTGCATGGAGTAGCCAGCAGATGCTGGCAACAGTCAATCCAGTGGACCGCCTATTCTGATGCTGAGAGACAAGCACAGACTGGTGGGATTGCATAGTTATGCAGCTATTGGATGACCAGCAATGGCTGCAAAACTTCTGCATACATAAGGTCTCTTTCAAGGAACTTTTCAAATCATCCGCTTGTCTCCTCTGTCTTCTGTATGTGTGCGTGAGTGTCCCAGTGTATCTATTCTCTTCCATGCCATTTACGATCTTGGCATGGATATCTGTATTTCTTCTGCAGCTTTGTAGTTTCTTCCTGCAGAGATTCCCATCCCCACACAGCAATCAAATCCATGAAGTTTGTTTTTGACCCGGAGCATTTATGGTCAGCTATCTTGCTGAGGTGTGCTGCCGCCTCTGCTCATCACACTGGCTAAAGAGGAAATAAAATTCAGACTTTCCTGGGCCTTTTCCTGTGCATCTGGAGAGCAGCAGAGTTGAAAGCTGTGGCTAGAGCGATCACATTGGGGCACTGTGAGACACCTTCCGAAGGCCAAAAACATCGACTTTCACAGCACGGTCTGCACTACCAGAAATTCGACCATGTATGCTTGAATTTACCATTAATCCTCATGACAAGCATGAGGATTGAAATCAACTTTAGCAGCCGTTACAGTTGGTGGAACAGGCGTGGTGGTGTGGACTCGTTTTGAGAAAATTTTCCTAATATGGCTAAATTTGACCTGAACTCATAGTGTAGACCAGGCCCAGGTTTACACTACAGCAGTACATTGGCACTGCTGCACCAATGCAGCTGTAGCATGTCTAGGGAAGATGCACTATGCCTGGGGGAGAGCACTCTCCCATTAGCATGATTTTACTTGGTGAGAAGCAGAAAATGCATCTCCCACTGACATAGCACCAGTGTGGAAAGCACAAAACTTCCATTGCTCAAGAGAGGAGCTTTTTTACACCCCTGAGCAACATAAATGTTATCAGCTTTAGGCTGTAGGGTAGAACTGTCCTAAAGAATAGCCCTCACACTAGGGAAACCAAGCACAAGCCCTCACCATGCTTTTCTGGAATGGTGCAGTGATCTGACACATTTAAGCCAAATTAATATAGCATGTTTGTATATAAAATACTCTGAAGTATAATCTTAATGTAGGAAGTACTACAATTTGCACTTTGCTGCCTCTGACATCAGTATCCTTTATGGTGTGAAAATTGCTTGTTACGACTTGAGGTCTCCAAAGTATTTTACAGTTAAAGCTATGTCTGAGTAAATATAAGCAAAACACTTGGTGGCAAGATGCCAGTGCCAGACTCATTAACACAAAACAGAAGCTTTTTCTGGCACTATAAAAGAAATCCTTTCTCGTAAAGAGAACTTTTTTATTCTTTTCCATCATCACAACAATAGACAAAATTAAAAATCTTTCTTTTCGTAATGAGGAACACTATCAAAGTATAGTGTTTTAGTTGAATTAGTAAATGAATGTACTATCTGTTAATATACCTGCTTTCCTAGAGGAGCAGTTCTGGAAGGCTGGATGTGAAAAGGGGAAGAGGACAAATGTGACAGTGGTCCTCTAGTAGAAGAGAATTATCAGTGAAATGTGAATGGTTCTAAATATCCAAAAGTTAAATGGTCTTTGTTTTCGTGGTATTGCTTCCTTGTAACAAAAATGTCTGTTTTTAGATGACTTCTACAGATATGCAGAAATGTATCCAGATTTTGCAGAAGAGTATCTGTACAATGATCAGATGGACATTGAAAATTGTTTGAAGACTTCTTCTCTGCCAGCCCCTAATGGATTCTGTACTGACTTCAGTCCAGAAAATGCTGATGATAAAAAGAGTCCCCTGGAGAAGAAACTGAATTAATACTGCAGACATCCTACTCCTCTCCTGGTGAGAGGAGTATTTTCTTTCCTGGAATCTTCATAGTCACTCCAACTCTACAGCAACCATAACTTTTGTGTGAAAGATTTACTACCTTATTACTGTTCTTTAATTCCTACATGCTGTATTTATCGATATCTTCAAGGTTAATTGTCAAGAGATGGGTTTATTTTATTTTTTCAAAATGTTCTTTGAAAGCCAGGAATGTGATGTGCTTCATTATAAATGTGCATACTTAAAGGGAAGCTACACATTTATTTATATTTGGTTTTTTTCATGTACATAATATTGCCCAAAGTGTAAATGTATGAAGAATTGTAGCTACTGGTGGTGAATGCACTTTGGTGATTAGTTTCTCCCCCCACCCTTTTTAGGAAGGTGTTTTAGGGTCAGATCTGCTGTCCTTATTTACATAAGCAGTTTCAATGATTTAAGTAGGATTATTCACATGAGAAAGGCAAATTTAAATTTTGGCCCCCTGTGTTGGTTTTAGAAATCAGTGCAAGAAACAGTAATGCAAAACAATTTTTTTTTTGCCAACGATTACTTGCTTTATTTTTGTTGTTAAATGATGAAGTTGTCGCTGTCTTTTGAGTCCATTACATAGTAGAATCAAAAGTGAAAGGCTTTAGGTCCCAGACATTTATTCTCATACACATCTCTACAAAACACAGTGAAATATGGAATACTTTCAAAACAAACATATGTCTCTGTGTACAAATATGTGGCAAACAAATTATGCTTTCCATGCTTTTCTGTAAATTTTTTCATACATTTCCATTTAGTAAATGAGGAATTTATTATAAACTAATTCCAAATATTAACCAGGAATCACACAGGTGCAGCTTCTTTGGTAAAAGTCTTATAACAGATACGCATGCACATGAGTGCATATGTAATTAAGTATATGTTGTACACCGGAATAAAGATTTTTATCAGCATGTTTTTGAAAAGGTTGCATTAGTTAGGAATGGCAGACACAAGTGAGTTATATAAAGACATCCCAAAGGAATGTCATGATGTATATTCTAAAGGATGCAGATGTTTAAAAAATTAGGAATGTTTTACAGAAATTTTAAAAAATGTTATTGACACTATTTCTTATTTCTTTCCTTTTGTAAATCCAGGTACTTTAGTTACAAGGAATAAAACTGAGCAGGACTCATAAGGAGAGAGACATCAAAACTAATATAATAAACTTCCTAAAATGATACCGTATTTCTGAATGTCAAAAACTGAAATTCCAGAATGTGCCTTAAGGGCTTGAAGTAATGGTGGGTTCCAATGAGACCAAAGGAATCTCTCTCCTTCTTAATGGTAAAAATTCTTAATCCTACATGGTTAGTAAACCCATTACTATCTCTGCAGAGCTGCACTATATTAGACTTCAAAACTCAGGCATGTTTCTGATTAGAAAAACGGACGCTGATTTTGTATTTTAATCCTGTCCATCCCCGGCCAACAAACCATGCTAATTTCGGGTAATAGGTGGAGAGGGGAAAGAGAAGGCAGAAACCCTTCTCTGGCAAGTTGTTTTTTAAAAATGGTAGTTGCTTGAAACTTGTTGAGGTTTAGGACGTTTCCTAGAGAGAAATCTAGACAGAGACAGGGAAGGTGATTTCATGTAAAGTAAGTAAATCAGTAAGTTATTGCACATATGTATGCAAATTATTCTATGAGTAGCACATTTGTGTAGTTGGTTTGCTACATTCTATACACCATACAGTAGGACCTGAGAGTTATGAACAGCAGAACTACAAACTGATCGAGCAACCACGCACCTCATTTGGAAGCAAAAGTATGCAATCAGGCAGCAGCAGAGATTTAAAAAAAATGCAGTACAGCACTATGTTAAAGGTAAACTACTAAAAGGGGGACATTTTTAAAAAGAGATGACAAGGTAAGGCAATTGTGCTTAAGATGGGTAAAAGCAGCATTTTTCTCTTGTATAGTAAAGTTTCAAAGCTGTAAATGTTTAAAAGAAACATGGTATTTTGTTCAGAGTTATGAACATTTTAGAGCTACAAACATTCTCCATTCCTGAGATGTTTGTAACTCTGAGATTCTCTTGTATATGTGAAGGTGCTCTCTCCATGTGCTCTGTTGTATAATAGTGAGTAAAATTAATGTAATGTCTAACCCTCATTGTGCTTACTTACCCTCCCTCCCCGCCCCTGAACTTGCTCTAACATTAGAAATTTCTGAGCAGCTTCAAACAAGCCACATTTTAAAAAAGAAATTAACTTGACAGAATTTTTTCCCTCCTCTCCCCAAATAGGGAATTCTAAAAAAAATACTCAGAAACCACAGTGTATGGTTTTGGGCCAGTGTGAGCTGCCTGTTGTCAATGTCCCCTCCCCTCAGGCTCATAGCTGTTGAAAAACCATGTGGCCCCTGCAGCCAGTGCAGGGGTGGGACAGGCAGGGAGTCAAGCAGGTAAGTCTCCCAGCCAGAGCTTGCTTCTGGCACCACAACCCTCTACTCAACCCTACCCAATATCACCCAAACCCTCTTCCCCCTGCCCGCTCCCATACTCCCTCCCATAACCTTGCACCCCAGTCCTCTGCCCCAGGTCACAACCCAAACCCCTGCACCCCCTCCTACACCCTAGTCTCCTTCCCCAGATCTCAATCCCCTCTTGATCAGTCACAACCCAAAACCCCTGCACCCTAATCCCATAACCCAGGTCACAATTGCTTTCTTCACCCAAACTCCCTCCCAGACCCCACATCCTCTCCTGCACCCCAATCTCGTACTGCAAGCTCCCTTCTGCACACAACCTCTAGCTCAGACCCAACACCACCTCCACTAATATGGAAGAGTGTGGTCCTTGACCACTTTCCAAATTCGTGGAGTGGCCCCCTATGAAAAAGTATTGCCCACCCCAGATCCAGTGTCAACTGTGATTCTTCACTGCTAAAGTAATCTTTGAGCTTTCCCTTTTATTCCCCTAAGTAAGGGATAGAGACAAAAAGGAACACATACATTTTAGTCCCTTTGAAAATAACAAGAGTAACACTGCTTTGCAAAATCCAATTTAGGTGTCTAGGCTCCTCATACTAACAGCGGAGAGCCCTAACTACTGAGTTATGAATATTCTTATGTGGGTCCCCTTCAGTCTCTACTGGTGAAGTTACTCCCTATAGGATAAATACTTAGGGCACATCTACACTGCAGTGCAAAAGTTGAATTAAAATATGTAACTTCAGCTATGTCAATTTCATAGCTTAAGTCGAAATAACTTAATTCGGCTTTTGGCGCTGTCTACACAGCAGGAAGTCAAAGGAAGAACACTCTTCCTTCAATTTCCCTTATTCTTCATGAAATGAGTGTTACAGGAGTTGGAGTAAGAAGGCCTCCAGCTTGATATTCATTTGAATCATAGAATCATAGAATATTAGGACTGGAAGGGACCTCAAGAGGTCATAGAGTCCAGTCCCCTGTCCTCATGGCAGGACCAAATACTAGACCATCCCTGATAGACATTTATCTAACCTACTCTTAAATATCTCCACAGATGGAGATTCTACAACCTCCCTGGGCAATTTATTCCAGTGTTTAACCATCCTGACAGTTAGGAACTTTTTCCTAATGTCCAACCTAAACCTCCCTTGCTGCATTTTAAGCCCATTGCTGCTTGTTCTATCCTCAGAGGCCAAGATGAACAAGTTTTCTCTCTCCTCCTTATGACACCCTTTTAGATACCTGAAAACAGCTATCATGTCCCCCCTCAATCTTCCCTTTTCTAAACTAGACAAACCCAATTCTTTCAGCCTTCCCTCACAGGTCATGTTCTCTAGACCTTTAATCATTCTTGTTGCTCTTCTCTGGACCCTCTCCAATTTCTCCACATCCTTCTTGAAATGCGGTGCCCAGAACTGAACACAATATTCCAATTGAGGCCTAACCAGCACAGAGACACGCACTTCATTATTTCAAAGTAATATCAGTTATTCCAAAATAACGCTGCTGTGTAGACGTACCCTTAATGGGCCAGACTACTTGGTAGGGCAACCATTTAGTAGGCAGGAGAGCCAAGATCCAGTCTGCCAGCCCCAGTGACTCTGTTATTTATACACAGAGGAAGAACTTTTCCAGGAGAAATTGCAGGATTCCTGCATTAGGCTCTCTCATAGCTCAGATGTTAAATCTCTCCTCTGATGGAAGAGGAAGCCTTTTTCAGATCCGTTCTCCCCCTCTAGCAAAGTGGGAAAGGAAACCTGGGCTTCCCAGATGAGTGCTCTAACCACTGAGATAAGTTGTGTGTGTACCTCCACAAGCCAGATTTTGAATGGGACCTGATTCACTAAGTAGCTTCTGAGTACACCTAGGAGATCAGGCCTTGCATACAAGTTAGGCACATGAACCTCTATCTTCCACATTTTGTGGCTTACTCTGGGGCTTAGGCAAGAGATGGGCGTCTGGATGCCTAGGCTATGTCTAAACAGCAGAGCTGAAGTTGAATAAAGCTACGCAACTTGAGCTATGTCAATTGCGTAGCCAAAGTCAATATAGCTTAACCTGGCTTTAGGCACTGTCTACACTGCAGGAAGTTGAAAGGAGAACACTCTTCCTTTGACTTCCCTTACTCCTTGGCTACGTCTAGACTGGCATGATTTTCCGCAAATGCTTTTAACGGAAAAGTTTTCAGTTAAAAGCATTTGTGGAAAAGAGCATCTAGATTGGCACGGACGCTTTTCCGCAAAAGCACTTTTTGCGTTAAAGCGTCCGTGCCAATCTAGACGCGCTTTTCCGCAAAAAAGCCCCGATCGCCATTTTCGCGATCGGGGCTTTTTTGCGCAAAACAAATCTGAGCTGTCTACACTGGCTCTTTTGCGCAAAAGGACTTTTGCCCGAACGGGAGCAGCATAGTATTTCCGCAAGAAGCACTGATTTCTTAAATGAGATCGTCAGTGTTCTTGTGGAAATTTAAGCGGCCAGTGTAGACAGCTGGCAAGTTTTTCCGCCAGTCTAGACACAGCCCTTGTGAAATGAGGGTTCCCATGAGTCAGTAAGAAGTTGTCCAGCTCAGCATTATTTCAAAATAAAGGCTTCTAGTGTAGACTCACCCTATGTTATTTTGAAAGAACATCAAGTTATTCTGAAATAACACTGCTGTGTAGATGTGTCTCTAGAGGGAGGCAGCAGTGCTTATGGCCAGAGACAGAAACTTAGGCAGGGAGGAAATTCTTACCCTGAAAATTTAGACCCTGAGAGAGTTTAGGCTTCTAGAATTTAGTGAGTGTTTTATGAATTGCAGTAGAGCCTAAAACTGAAATTTAGATTCCTAAACCCAGGCACTGAAATCAGGTTTAGATGCCAAAGCACCTTTGTGACTCTAGTCCTTTGTATCTGTTAGTAGATGAGCTCAGTGGCTAATCTCACATAATTGCTTATATATTAACTTCAAGGAACCGTGTGAACTATATATAGTTTGTTGTCCTAAAGTCAGCGATCTAAACAGATCCAGTTTATCTTTAAATAGCACCATATGTAATCACTGGAGACCAGATTCTAGCACCTTAATTATTTTGACTAATACTTCACTAATATTGTGATTATATAGAGAGATAACTATTACTCATTGTAAAGTTGATAGAATCTGGTCCTGCAAGATTAAAAGTGGAGTAATTTAGTAAGAGATGCTCTTAATTGTTGGTTTCACTGATTATATATCATCTCACTGGAAATAGTTTTGTGTCTACATTTCCTCTTTTGATGATTGGTTAAGTTTATTGGCTGCATGACTTTAAAGAGGTATGTCACTGCTCTTTTTTTAATAGAATCTTAACTTGGGATCTTTCTAAGGACCCTAAAGATTAGAGCTTTGTTTAAATGGTAACTTTTTTGGTCAGAACTTCTGGTTAAGTTTTTATCTGACAATTTCCTTTTTTTTTTTAAAGTAAACATGTTATCATTCTACATAGGAATGGCCCCAATTCTTTCCAGTTCCTTACCTGTCTTCTTTATCTTTGTCTTCTCGCTCTATTGTGTTCATCACTTTAGAAACTGAATAATTATGCACCTTGAGCAACTAAAATTATGTTTCAGAGAGGTTGCTGTGTTAGTCTGTTTCAGCAAAAACAAGAAGTCCCGTGGCACCTTAAAGACTAAAATTTATTTATGCAGAAGTTTGTGGGCTGGAACCCACTTCATTAGATGCATGAAATGGAAACATCAGTTTGGCAGGGATATATACACATGCAAAGATGGGACTGTTACATTACTATCTTGGGGAATTCAGCCAAGTTATTTTATGTACTTAGTCTATATTGGCTTCAGCAAATGTTTGTTCTTCCAGTTTTAAAAAAATGTTGCAAGAAATTCCTGACATGCTTGTTTGAGATATCAGTTTGTAAATGAAATCAGAAATTGCCTCAACATTTTCAATGTATGTTATAATCAGAATTTTGTGTGTCTGTGCTTTACAG